CCAAATTTTCTTTTGAGACAGAAGAAAACAAAGTAAGAAAGGATACAGCCGTGGGTAGGAGAATGGACATAAGGAGGAAGGGCAGTGTGGATACCAGTCTAATAGGTTATACTGGCTGTAGAATGTCCATGCCTAATCAGGAAAAGAATGTGAGCAAGGCCAAACAGCAACAATTAAAATGTTTGTACACCAATGCGAGGAGCCTAGGTAACAAAATGGAGGAACTAGAGCTACTGGTGCAGGAAGTGAAACCAGATATTATAGGGATAACAGAAACATGGTGGAATAGTAGTCATGACTGGACTACAGCTATTGAAGGGTATGTGCTGTTTAGGAAAGACAGATTTAGGAAAGACAGAAATAAAGGTAAAGGTGGTGGAGTAGCATTGTATTTCAATGATGAGATAGAATGTAAAGAAATAAGAAGCGATGGAATGGATAAGACAGAGTCCGTCTGGGCAAAAATCACATTGGGGAACAAAACTACAAGAGCCTCCCCTGTGATAGTGCTTGGGGTGTGCTATAGACCGCCTGGATATGGATAGAGCTCTCTTTAACGTTTTTAATGAAGTAAATACGAATGGAAACTCCATGATCATGGGAGACTTTAACTTCCCAGATATTGACTGGAGGACAAGTGCTAGTAATAATAGTAGGGCTCAGATTTTCCTAGATGCGATAGCTGATGGATTCCTTCATCAAGTAGTTGCTGAACCAACAAGAGGGGATGCCATTTTAGATTTGGTTTTGGTGAGTAGTGAGGACCTCACAGAAGAAATGGTTATAGGGGACAACCTTGGTTCGAGTGATCATGAGCTAATTCAGTTCAAATTGAATGGAAGGATAAACAAAAATAAATCTGTGACTAGGGTTTTTGATTTCAAAAGGGCTGACTTTCAAAAATTAAGGAAATTAGTTAGGGAAGTCGATTGGACTGAAGAACTTACAGATCTAAAAGCAGAGGAGGCCTGGGATTACTTCAAGTCAAAGATGCAGAAGCTATCGGAAGCCTGCATCCCAAGAAAGGGGAAAAAATTCATAGGCAGGAGTTGTAGACCAAGCTGGATGAGCAAGCATTTCAGAGAGGTGATTAAGAAAAAGCAGAAAGCATACAGGGAGTGGAAGATGGGAGGGATCAGCAAGGAAAGCTACCTTATTGAGGTCAGAACGTGTAGGGATAAAGTGAGAAAGGCTAAAAGTCAAATAGAGTTGGACCTTGCAAAGGGAATTAAAACCAATAGTAAAAGGTTCTATAGCCATATAAATAAGAAGAAAACAAAGAAAGAAAAAGTGGGACCGCTAAACACTGAGGATGGAGTGGAGGTTAAGGATAATCTAGGCATGGCCCAGTATCTAAACAAATACTTTGCTTCAGTCTTTAATGAGGCTAATGAGGATCTTAGGGATAATGGTAGCATGACAAATGGGAATGAGGATATGGAGGTAGATATTACCATATCTGAAGTAGAAGCGAAACTCAAACAGCTTAATGGGACTAAATCGGGGGCCTGGATAATCTTCATCCAAGAATATTAAAGGAATTGGCACATGAAATTGCAAGCCCATTAGCAGAATTTTTAATGAATCTGTAAACTCAGGGGTTGTACCGTATGACTGGAGAATTGCTAACGTAGTTCCTATTTTTAAGAAAGGAGAAAAAAGTGATCCGTGTAACTACAGGCCTGTTAGTTTGACATCTGTAATATGCAAGGTCTTGGAAAATTTTTTGAAGGAGAAAGTAGTTAAGGATATTGAGGTCAATGGTAAATGGGACAAAATACAACATGGTTTTACAAAAGGTAGATCGTGCCAAACCACCCTGATCTCCTTCTTTGAGAAAGTAACAGATTTTTTAGACAAAGGAAACACAGTGGATCTAATTTACCTAGATTTCAGTAAGGCATTTGATACGGTGCCACACAGGGAATTATTAGTTAAATTGGAAAAGATGGGGATCAAAATGAAAATTGAAAGGTGGATAAGGAATTGGTTAAAGGGGAGAGTACAGTGGGTCATACTGAAAGGTGAACTGTCAGGCTGAAGGGAGGTTACCACTGGAGTTCCTCAGGGATCGGTTTTGGGACCAATCTTATTTAATCTTTTTATTACTGACCTCAGCACAAAAGGTGGGTGTGTGCTAATAAAGTTTGCGGATGATACAAAGCTGGGAGGTATTGCCAATTTAGAGAAAGACCGAGATATCATACAGGAGGATCTGGATGACCTTGTAAACTGGAGTAATAGTAATAGGATGAAATTTAATAGTGAAAAGTGTAAGGTCATGCATTTAGGGATTAATAACAAGAATTTTAGTTATAAGCTGGGGACGCATCAATTAGAAGTAACAGAGGAGGAGAAGGACCTTGGAGTATTGGTTGACCACAGGATGACTAGGAGCCGCCAATGTGATACAGCCGTGAAAAAAGCTAATGCGGTCTTGGGATGCATCAGGCGAGGTATTTCCAGTACAGATAAGGAGGTGTTAGTACTGTTATACAAGGCACTGGTGAGATCTCATCTGGAATACTGTGTGCAGTTCTGGTCTCCCATGTTTAAGAAGGATGAATTCAAACTGGAACAGGTACAGAGAAGGGCTATTCGGATGATCCGAGGAATGGAAAACCTGTCTTATGAAAGGAGACTCAAGGAGCTTGGCTTGTTTAGCCTAAGCAAAAGAAGGCTGAGGGGAGATATGATTGCTCTCTATAAATATATCAGAGGGATAAATACCAGGGAGGGAGAGGAATTATTTAAGCTCAGTACCAATGTGGACACAAGAACAAATGGATATAAACTGGCCATCAGGAAGTTTAGACTTGAAATTAGATGAAGGTTTCTAACCATCAGAGGGGTGAAGTTCTGGAACAGCCTTCCAAGGGAAGCAGTCGGGGCAAAAGACCTATCTGACTTCAAGATTAAACTCGATATGTTTATGGAGGAGATGGTATGATGGGATAACATGATTTTGGCAATTAATTGATCTTTAACTATTTAACATAGGCCCAATGGCCTGTGATGGGATGTTAGATGGGGCGGGATCTGAGTTACTACAGAGAATTCTTTCCTGGGTATCTGGCTGGTGAATCTTGCCCACATGCTCAGGGTTCAGCTGATCGCCATATTTGGGGTCGGGAAGGAATTTTCCTCCAGGGTAGATTGGAAGAGGCCCTGGGGTTTTTTCGCCTTCCTCCGTAGCATAGGGCACAGGTCACTTGCTGGAGGATTCTCTGCACCTTGAAGTCTTTAAACCACTATTTGAGGACTTCAATAGCTCAGACATAGGTGAGAGATTTATTGCAGGAGTGGGTAGGTGAGTTTCTGTGGCCTGCATTGTGCAGGAGGTCAGACTAGATGATCATAATGGTCTCTTCTGACCTTAATATCTATGAATCTATGACCCCAATGCCATATGGACTACTGCTGCCAGAGGTAGGGGAGTGGTACCACCCATCATGATGAAGTCAGTGTGTTTTGGGAGGATTCCCCTCTGCCCCGTGGCGAACTGCTCCATCACTGACAGGGCCCTGGGTCATGGCCCGGTGGAGCTGGGTGGGCCCATGCCCCCCTGCCAGGGGCTACCGCCCCTTGCGATGGCCTCCAGTTACCTGATCCCATGTTTTGCCTCCAAAGGGAGCAGCATGGACTTCAGCCACTAGGCCACGCTATCCCACTAAGGGAGGGGGAATTAGGCGGACTCTGGCCATTGGGCCACACTGCCCTAGGGGCACATTGCATGGACTCTGGCTGCTAGGCCACATTACCCCACTCAGGGAGAGGCAGTATATGGACCCTGGCCATTAGGCTACACTGTGCTGACTACCGGGGGATAGGGGGAAGTAAAAACAGATGTAGGTGTAGAGAAGTGGAGTTACCTCTCACCCACCCTCTGGACTCAAGGGGTCGACGAGGTACAAAACCCGCCACATGATCCTTTTTGGCAAAGACAGCACAACAGCTCTTACACCATTCCCCCCCTCCCCCTGCAGCTAGTGTAGGGACTGTGGCGGTGAAGCAGGGTTTGGCCAAGACCTCCCTGCACCCCAGCAATCCCTGGCTGTTGTAATGGCAACCAGTATAATTTATAGAACCCTCCAAAAGGCTTCTGTAATGTACACCATGAGACTGACAAGCACCTAGACAGTACAGGATCAACAGAGTGCCCCCCAGCCTCACATTCCTGGACTCCGCACTCAATGGATGAATATTAGGGAGAATCAGGAAGGTGATTTTTTTGGAGTTTCTCCACAGAAATTGATTCATTTTATATTTCACAGGGCGGGGATGGGAGAGAGCCATCTTCCAGTCACCACCAGAATTGTCTGGTGCACAACAGTGGAGCCTACCAGTTTGTGTTGCAGCTCATGCATAGCCGACAGAAGTTTTAAAAAAACGTCCAAAGAATGGGTCTCCAAACAGGCTGTGTATCTGTGGGACACTAGATCCATATCACCTCTTTTATGTGGATTCAGATTAGTTTTGTTGCTCTGGTCATTTTCTCCAGTTATTCAAATCTGGAATGCAGAATAGCCAACAATATTAATTTAAGCTCTACAGGCATGGGAGAGAACTTTCAAGAGCCCATCAGCAGCATAAAGAGCAAAACACACACCACGGTTGTGAATTGGGCTGGACATCTCCTACACTGCGGTTCTTAAAGCTGTAGGTTTCATGCATCCAAAAGCCAAAGGGAACATGAGCAACCTTTAGGAAGAGGCACTAGAAATTTCCTCTTTTTTATATTTATATAAGATTAGCTTTCCCCCATAATTCAGGACAACCCTTAGATGTGGGCATTGTGGGTCAAAAAGACCAGCTCTGATTACTTTGTTTGCTTGCCATTTACTAATTATATATTTCAGTCACCAAAAGAAGTTCAAAACTTGGAAACTGAAAATCACACATTTTAATAAGTACAGTGACTGATTCCATGATTTATTCATGAGGTTATAAGGTAGTATTGGGTTTAGCAATTGCTCCATAAGTAGGGCAATAAAAGCACAGACCAACACCTTTCACTTACCCTAGTAAGTAACTTCATGGTCAGATTTGTATGGTATACTGAGCAGAAAGCCATTTCCTATCACATAATGAAAATATTTAGAAAACCACTAGAGCAATAAGGGTTATAGAAGTCCTAAAACTGTAATTGCCTTACTTCATTATTAGAGATGAAAATATTAGGAACATGAGTTTCTCAGTATATAGGGTGGTAAAAAATGTATTGATTACTGAAGTGTACAAAAAAGGAGGAAAAATGTTCAATACAGCCTTATAACAATTCCTACTTGCCATTTACCAAGCCTGGTTTTATAAATATGGGAAATCAACTTGTCATTCTAATTATGTTATATTTTGCGTAATTTATGATGACTTATTTTTAGTTATTTTGACAAATATGATTATGTAATACTCATCAGCTGTGAGAGTTAGGTTAGCCAGCCTGCTCGCAAAGATGCTCTTCCCTCTCTTCGTAAGGTGGAGCCCGTCTCTGCCCAGCACTCCTCCTTCATGGAACACCATCCCATGGTCAAAGAATCCAAAGCCTTCTCTCCGACACCACCTGCGTAGCCATTCATTGACTTCCACGATTCGACGGTCCCTACCCAGGCCTTTTCCTTCCACGGGGAGGATGGACAAGAACACCACTTGCGCCTCAAACTCCTTTATCCTTCTTCCCAGAGCCACGTAGTCTGCAGTGATCCGATCAAGGTCATTCTTGGCAGTATCATTGGTGCCCACGTGGAGAAGCAGGAAGGGGTAGCGATCCGAGGGCTTGATGAGTCTCAGCAGTCTCTCCATCACATCGCGAATCTTAGCCCCCGGCAAGCAGCAGACTTCTCGGTTTTCCCGGTCAGGGCGGCAGATAGATGACTCAGTCCCCTGGAGGAGAGAGTCCCCGACCACCACCACCCGCCTCCTTCTCTTGGGAGTGGTGGTTGTGGAATCCCCAACCTCAGGACAGTGCATCTCATGCCTTCCAACCAGCGGAGTCTCCTTCTGCTTTCTCCCTCCAGACGTATGATCTGGTCCACTCTCCGCAATGGTACCTGTGGAGAGAACATGAAAGCGGTTAGTTACCTGTGTCTGCGTTGCTGGAACCCGGACATTCCCCCTTCTTCTTCTGGAGGTCACATGTTGCCAAGCTTCTTCACTGGCCTCTTGGCCCCACTGTGCAACCTGCTCTAAATATTTAGAGCTTTGTGCCCGTAGAAGCATATCCTGACTTTTGTCCAGAAAATCCTCAGATTCTCGTATGCAATGCAGGGTCGTTATCTGTTGCTCCAGACCTTCAATCTTCTCTTCCAATATGGAGACCAGCTTGCATTTGTACAGACAAAGTCGCTTCTGTCCTGTGGAAGAAAGACAAACATGGCACATCCAGTGCAGGTCACAACAGCTGAAGCCCCCCCCCCCCCTTCCATATCACCTTCCTACTATGAGCTTCCTCCAGAGAAGTTGGCAAGATGTAAGCCTCACTGGGCTCACTCCAGGCAAACTCCTGCTGTGTGCTGCTCTGCTGTTCCCCGCTGCTCAGCTGGTTCGCGGAGCTCTGGCTATTTTTAAACAGCCAGGCTTCCCTGAAACAAACAAACAGGCAGCCCCAATGCCCGCCCCCCACAGGCTACCACCCAATCAGGCACTCGCTCAGGCTTTCATACTGCCCTCCCAGCAAACACACACTCGGATACTTACTCAGCAAACACGCACTCGGATACTCACCAATCCCAGGCAAACACCTGCTGTGTGCTGCTCTGCTGTTCCCCGCTGCTCAGCTGGTTCGCCGCCGCTCAGTTTGGGCACCAATAAAAGAGACAGTTATTATTTTCATGCAAAGCTTAAGCATGTCATCTCCATAATATGTGGATGTCAAAAAAGTCCAGGGGAACTTTTGGGTGGAGTCTTAGGGGAAGTTCGACCAAAGTTGCCTGTCATTGCAGTTTCCATTTTAAAGGACGACTCATTTCAGGAAGTACAAAGAGCTGCAAAAAATGAACTCCACAAACATTTTTCACATGAACGCCATTCTCACAGGGTTTCTGACTCATGCAAACCCACAAGAAAGCCGGGGTCCTTGTGAGATTTCAAGACCCACTTTCAGCTCTCTGCTTCTGAAAAGAAAATGAAGAGGCCCAGGGTGATAAAAAGGTTTGCTGCCTGGATGAATGACCTAAAAAGGATGGTTATAGCCCCCAACAACATTTCAAGGGAACAAAACATTTTATAAAAAGAAATTGTGTTTATCAGAGAGATGGAGACATTATAACATTGCTTTCCCACTCCTCTGTGTAGTCATCTCTAGCAGTCCTTCCCCGTCAGACTCAGAGGGAGGCCACTCTGCCTCACTACACTCAGGCTATGTCTACACTATGGACCTTACAGCATCACAGCTGTACTGCTGCAGCTGCACCGCAGTAAGGTCTCCTGTGTAGCCGCTCTATGCCGGCGGGAAAGAGCTGTCCTGCTGGCATAATTAAACCACCCACAACGAGTGGCAGTAGCTATGTTGGTGGGAGATGCTCTTCCACCCACGTAGTGCTGTCCACCCCAGTGCTTTTGTCCGTGGAACTTTTGTTGGTCAGGGAGGTGTTTTTTTCACACCCCGGACCAACAAAAGTTTTGCTGACAAAAGTGCTAACGTAGACAAAACTGTTAGCATCTAAGACATTACCCCAGCAATTCATAAAACAACTTTTAACACTAAATTATTTATTGTAAATTATTTTGCACAATTGCAGAAGGTTGGACATAGATTGCCTAGTTGCAATCTTCTGGAAGAGAATTTTGCAGCATATTCACTATTGTATGAAATGATCAGTATTATCACCTTCTTCGGTATTAGTAGCCTAATCTTTCTCTCATTTAAGTTGATAGAAGGCATCTTTAGCTACTTTCTTTTCAATCCCTTCCTATCGTGGGTTTCCCAAAGCCTTTAAACAGATGCAAAGATTTTCCATGTTGTAACTTTACGGACCTGATCGTACAAAGTGTTGAGTGCATTCAAATCCCACAATCCAAATCTCTAAATTCTTCATCAAAGTAACCATCATACTATATCATTGTTTTGCTGGCTTACCAAGCTTTCAACCATAGTTCTGACTACCTGGTCACTGGCATCACAAAATGGCTATGAGAATCAGAGAGTTGCTGAAGAAATCACATTATTTTCACAGTGCAGAAGGATTGCTAAGCTTTTGCCTCAATTTTGATTAATTTCGTGCCTGACTCAGTCAGAGATTAGGCCCTGACACAGGTTATAATTAAATATTGAAATCATGAAGTGCAAGAATGTTTAATTTTTAAAATATGAGTTTTAATTTACCTCATACAGAGAATAGCTCTGGTCACCTGCAGAGATGCATTACACACTACATTGCCTAATGTAGGATGCCTGAATAAGGCTGAGCATACAGTTAAAGTAAACTAATACAATTTACCGAACAGCAGTCAAATATTTATCCAGTTGATGAAGCAGACTTTATGTGAAACTCAGACAATAATTAAAGAGAAGCCTTGCTTAAAACATGCTTATTCCAGATTTCACAAATATGTTATACCCAAGCAGCATCTTCCTTTTTTCAAATATTGATGTTCTCCTAATACACCGTACAGGGAGCTTATACTTGGCATTCTCCTGACCATTTAATGAATACATTTCCTGGCATTTGCCTTATCTTTGTTATGTTGTTCTTTGGAGAGCTGAAACTATTAGTCAACCCTTGACAGGAAAACATCAAAGCAAGCTGGTAAAAGGTCTCACAGTATCAGAGTTAGTAACATGGTATTTGATTAAATCACATAAAGATGGAGAAGAGATACAACAGAATATGTCCACTATGCTTAAAATTTTCAAGACACTGCATGCTATCTCATAGGACTCAACAGTTCTTTTATGTCATGTTATCTGAACAATATTCTGAACGATGATTGGCTGCAAATTGATCCCAAGAGATAATTATTTTGTAATTTTGAATCATTGGTTTTTTAAAATGAATGAAAATATTTCAGATATTTTTCAAATGATAAAAACAGCTGGCATTTTTGCTTGAGTTATTTTTTCCAAGAGAAATGTTCTCTAAATCCCCTTGTATCAAAATCACTCTGCCTGGAAAATGCCTGAGAAAATACATCTATTTCTTTTTTGAGGTTTTTGTTCTTGCTGGATTTATTTTATTTATTTATTTTGGTAGAGGAACCACTCAGTGAACAAAATCAGACTGTATTTAGAGTACTGTAAGCTGGGAACGTGTTGCTTTATTTACCTATATATAAACAGAGAGGGGGAAACCACACACTAACTAAAATGGAATTAAGAGAGGGTGGAGCATGACTTCAACCTAGAATACTCTGAGTAACCCACGAAAGCTTATGCCCAAATAAATTTGTTTGTCTCTAAGGTGCCACAGGTACTCCTCGTTTTTTTTCTGAGTAACCCAGTTATTCCTTTGATGATCACAGTTTTCCCTTGTTTTCAGCATTCCAGAACACAAGTGTTCAAAATTCAGATATTTTTAAAGATACAAAGGCCCCAATCCTGTAATTGGATTTGGATCTGTGAAGATTCTAAGCCCAATAAAATGTATATGTGATATAAATCCTCATGTTTCTAATCATGAACTACTTCGAGTCAGGAAGAAACTTTCCCTTTGGACAGTTATTTCTCTGAAGCATCTGCTACCAGCTATAGATGAAGGCAGGATAGCAGAGAAGAGAGAACCCTGAGCTGATCTGGAATGGCACTTTCTAGGTTCCTAAAATAGACTTCTCAGTAGAAAAGTATTAACATAATGGTCTATTGATCAGTAGATGATGATGAGTGGTACCTACTTATTAGCTGTATTAATAACCATTGTGGTGTTTCCACAGATATCTGTATTCCATTGAGCTATATGGAAATTTAATAGAATGGTTATACAGACGGTCACCGACTTATGCAATCGTTCCGTTCCGGAAAGCCTCGCGTAACTCAAATTTTGCATAAGTCAGAAATATATATCTGAACGTAACGCAAAACAAACAAACAAACAAACAAACAAACAACAACCCCTCCTATTTCTAGTTTATGGAACTTTTTCCGTAAGTGCGAATTTGCATAAGTCGGGTCTTGCGTAACCCAGGGAGCATCTGTATGGGAAAATAAGTGGTGAACGACAAGTAGGTTTGTTTAATGATGATAAATATAAGGTTAAAATGTTAAATAGAGTGTGAGGGTACCTCAAGGGTAGACAGACTTACGATTTTTATATTTTCAAGTTTCACTAATGACCTGCTTTGTAAACGTATTCAGGAAGATGTGCTGTTCTATGTTAATAAAGTATTGCCATGCATAATCACCATCATCATAATGTTAATGCTTATACAACACTGTGCATGTTCCAAACACTTTTCAGAAAATCATTAATTATTCCAACTAGACTATGCAGCCCTGAGCTCCAGGGTGAGATTCTCCCTGCATTACGGCAATTGTGTATTATTCCATAGGTACAAAGCTGCCTTACATCCAATAGGCCAAGTCGGGCCTTTTAATGTAACCCCAATTACTTTAATTGGTCCTGCACACCAGTAAAATAAATAAAATAAAGTAACAACAAAATAATCAAGTTAGCACAGAGGGAGGTTTATTGAGCTGATGTAGCTCCATTAAGTTCAACTGAGCTATGCCAGTTTACATTAGCTGTGGCCCCATATTTAGAAGCTGCATCCAGTCATACTTCCTTCTTAGTTTCAGTCTCCAAACAACTCCAGCTGCAACTGTAGACAACTTAAAAGTCCCTTTGCAAACTGTATCTGGCATATTCCCATCTGAAAGGTGAAGTTACATGCACTAACCACGGCTTTTAAAAACTTGTGAGCATTTAAGGTCTGATCGTCCAGTATTTATGCATCCTTATGGCCATTGAAGTCTTCAGGGCTTTTGGGTATGCAAGGATTGCAGGGTCAGGAGACTAATGCTCAGAACAGGTAGGGAATAATAGCACAAGTCTGAGAGTCAGTTCTGTACTGCACAAGATTTGGTACTCCTCTCCACACTCCAACCCTGACTTGCAATGCCCATGTCATTCTAGTACCAAGTCTCTACCATTATTACTAGTGTCATAAGTATACTACGCATGATGTTTTACAAACAGTAAAAAAAAGAAAAGAAAAGTAAAAGGGGAAGACCCACAAAAGTACTTCAGTGTCTAACTGCCACTTTCAGTACCTAAGTCCAACATTCAGGTACCACTGAGGACATCAACACCACTCAGCTTCAGTCTAACCCTGAAGATGCCTAAGTTTCTACCAGTAAAGACCCTGAGGGGCCTAAGTTTCTACCAGTACGTATGTGCAAAACTGCCTAATTCCTGAAAGCCACTAAATTGCTCAGTGCCTTAGCAGGATTCTCAAAGTAGGTGGTCCCTCACCTGTCTTATCTGCAGAACATGATCCAGTAGGTGAGCACCAATGGAATCTTGCCTGTGAGTTGACAAAAATTCATTGACATTGAACCATTTTCACAAAAAAATCCAGCTTTGACAAATTGGCATTTTCCAACAAATCTCTCCAACCACCTCTATCCAACAAGAGAGACAGAGACACTCTGGCCAGAACACCCAATACCTTGGTGGTAGGACACTCCCACAATATGGAAGAACTGGGTTGAAGTCCTTGTTCCAAATCAGGCAGAAAAGGGATTTGAAAGCAGGGCTCCCCCATTCCAGGAGGATGTCCTAACCACTGGGTTATCGAATCTGATGGAATGAACAGCTCTCTCTTTTCAGGAGAAAGGGCTGATTCATCTTAGGCACGTAACTCCAGGAAAGGGTTCATTGCTGAGAATCTCAACCTGAGGGAGGGACTTCCCTCAA